GTCAGAGTGAACTCGAACGGAGCCCAGCACATCCAGAAATAGCAAAAATCAGTGGCTTCTTCATTTTTTTTTCTTTAACTTTTCTGTTTTTTCGAACTGAGGTTCAGAGCTTCGATTTCAGACCTGCCTTCTTTTATTTTTGTGTGTGTTTTGAAGATAACAGATGATGGACTTGTGTGTGTGAAATGATAGTGAGGTGAAGATGGTGAAATGAAGAAGAAGAAGCAGCAGCGACGCAAGGTTCGCCGATGGATGGGGGTGTGTGTTGTCTAGGTCTTCATGAAAAATTGGAGAAGAAGACTCCAAGAAAATGCGCCTTCTCCTCTTTTTCTTTTGGGTCCCCTATGTTCTCTAGGTCTAGGTATTTTTATAGGTCTAAGTCTAGGTTTTAATTGGAAGGGTATGGGTTTTGGGCTAATTTGTGGGAATTGGATTAATTTGGGTATAAGAACAACCCAAATTTGAATTCAAACCCACTTTCAAATTCTCTTCTTATTCTCCTTTTTTCTTTGTTTCTCTTTTGTTTAAAATCCTAGAAATTAAAATCCTAGATCATCTAAAAATGTGAAATTAAACTAATTAACTAATTATAAAAATTATAAAAGCTACTTAATCCTAAATTAAAAGAGAAAAAATCAATAAGCTAAAAATTAAAATACAAAAAATGTGAAGATGAGCTATTCTTTTGTGATTTTCAAATTTTTATAAAGCAAAATAACTACCGATTAATCCTAAAAAATATATAAATAAAGCCTAAATGCCATGCGTGATATTTTGGTATTTTTCATGATTAAATAAAACTTAAACATGCAAGACAAATGCAAACAATTAATAAATCCTATAAAAATTCCTTAAAATGGTAAATAATTAAGGAAAAAAATCTTTTTTTCTGGATTTTTTAGGAGTATTTCATTTAGGGCAAAAATCACGTGCTTACAGCTGCCCCTCTTTGCTCGGAAATATGAAGAGTTTTCGGGCAAAGATAAAGTGAGCAATATGAGGGAATTTTTTCCCATTTGAAACTCCATGAGAAGCATTTTTGAAAGAGTCTGACCGAACCTTGCTTCAGAGGTTGCCTACATATCCTTGGCTATAAAGGAATCAGGTCAGTGTAGTTCTAGAAGTTTTGGTAGCTGGGACTACCGGGAAGCTGTGATTTCACTGTTGTTGTTGCTGTTTCTACTTGCTGAGCTCCTTATTACACCAAAAGGAAAATAAAAGCTAAGCTAGCTATGCCTATCAACTACGAGTTTACAAGATTCCTATATATAAATCTCTTGAAGCTTGATCTTGAGTCTTAGCTGATTTTGCTGTGGACCCCGATCTGAATCTTGATGCTCGCAGGCTGTAGGTACTGGTTCTTTCTTCAGCTTTGGATCAAGGCTGGACATGCGAAGCTTGTGACTTCAATCATATCTTGAGTAGTCCGCATCCTTCTCCACTTCAGCACTTTGAGTTCATTTCTTTTTGCTCTTTTTTTTTCTTTATTTTGGATTGAGACTCATTCTTTTGGTCGTCTCGAACCCTGTGCCTCGGTGTTAGACCTGCCTAAGACACCAAAACAAACAAATGAACGAAATTTTTCTGCCCCAGTTTTCACTAGGAAAATTTCGTGAGTTAGTTGTGACACATATCTAAGCGATCAAATCAGGATTGTGTAGGGAGATCCTCGGTTTTTGGCCGGGATTTGGAAAGAAAAGGCTCCTCGGTTTTTTGGCCGAGAGATCATTCGGTTTGCGGATTGGAAGAAAGCTCTCGGTTTTNCAAACTACGATTTTCTTTTTTATTTTCCTAAATTTGAGATTATTGTAACGCAAAGTTATGGAATTTTATGGATAAGATGTTATGGGTTGATGCTTGTCTAACATGGATCAGTTTATGAATTATGTAGGCGTTGGATCCCTAGTATTACTCCTATTTGACAACGTAGCAACCAAGGAAAAGGGCCTCTCATATATTTGTAAAGATTAGGCCAGGCGATTCGTGAAATGGGCTAACAGGGTTCAACTTAAACGAACCCATTTAGAACTAAAAAAAATCTTATTCTAATTCCATCCTTCACACTCCGATCAAACCACCACAAAGCAGAATAAATTCCAAGATGAATTAACCAACGAAGATGCACAAAGATGTGAAGATTTAATTCAACAAACTATATAATAATTCATTACTTATGAAATCAAACAAAAGTTCTTAAGCAATTCACTGTTATCATTCAATTCACAACGAAGCACTCAAAGAAAAATCCAACCCAAAGACCCTATATTCATGAGTATTTAACAGAAATCACACAATACACATAGATCAAATCAGCATAATCATTAATTTAAGGTCATGGACATGCGTAATGCTTATCAACAATTTTAGACAACCAAAACACCCACAAACTCAGCAGTAACAGATGTGGATCCCAAAATTTCGGCTAAAAAATGGAGGCAAACACCAAATCACAGTAAAATCAGAAATCGCTAATAACCCGAGGATTGAGCATTCATTACACACGAGAGCAACAAGAATCAGGGAGAGCAAATCTTCAATTTTAAGCAAAAACTCAATTGCTTAATCATTTTTAGACAACATAATATATAGGAGTTTCAAACTAACCTGATTGAACAAAGAAAACTCGAATAAATCGACTAAGGGTCAGAGTGAACTCGAACGGAGCCAGCACATCCAGAAACAGCAAAAATCAGTAGCTTCTTCATTTTTTTTTCTTTAACTTTTCTGTTTTTCGAACTTAGGTTCAGAGCTTCGATTTCAGACCTGCCTTCTTTTATTTTTGTGTGTGTTTTGAAGATAACAGATGATGGACTTGTGTGTGTGAAATGATAGTGAGGTGAAGATGGTGAAATGAAGAAGAAGAAGAAGAAGCAGCGACGCTAGGTTCGCCGATGGATGGGGGTGTCTGTTGTCTAGGTCTTCATGAAAAATTGGAGAAGAAGACTCCAAGAAAATGCGCCGTTCTCCTCTTTTGCTAAGGGTCTCCTGTGTTCTCTAGGTCTAGGTATTTTTATAGGTCTAAGTCTAGGTTTTAATTGGAAGGGTATGGGTTTTGGGCTAATTTGTGGGAATTGGATTAATTTGGGTATAAGAACAACCCAAATTTGAACTCAAACCTACTTTCAAATTCTCTTCTTATTCTCCTTTTTTCTTTGTTTCTCTTTTGTTTAAAATCCTAGAAATTAAAATCCTAGATCATCTAAAAATGTGAAATTAAACTAATTAACTAATTATAAAAATTATAAAAGCTACTTAATCCTAAATTAAAAGAGAAAAAATCAATAAGCTAAAAATTAAAATACAAAAAATGTGAAGATGAGCTATTTTTTGTGATTTTCAAATTTTTATAAAGCAAAATAACTACCGATTAATCCTAAAAATGTAAAAATAAAGCCTAAATGCAATGCATGATATTTTGGTATTTTTCATGATTTAAATAAAACTTAAACATGCAAGACAAATGCAAACAATTAATAAAACCTATAAAAATTCCTTAAAATGGTAAATAATTAAGGAAAAAATCTTTTTTTCTGGATTTTGTAGGAGTATTTCATATAGGTAAAAAATCACGTGCTTACAAGTAGCAGTAGATAGATCAACTGCATCTAATACAAGTAGTAGTAGTTATAGTGGTGGTAGCAGTAGTAGTGGAGTTGTTTGCCAAAGCCTCAGCTTGTTAGTTTGCTTCCCTGTACACGTGCATGATTCAACACATCAACCTGCAATCATTCACAATATGAAAGATGGTCCTTTGAATATGCAATGCATTTTTCCATATTTGACAAAAGAAGCAGAATTGAACAACACGTGAAAAATGTACGGACACTTACAAGTTGTTAGCTACACAACAGTCAGTTACCTGAGTTGTTCAGCCTTTCAATGTTGTGTCGTCGGTTCATTTTGTAGAATTTGACAAACCAGGCTTTCAATGTAAAGTTTCGGAGTATCAAACATTGGGGCTACAGAATTGATAGATTCCTCGTCTCAACGATTTAGGAGTATCAAACCGTCTATCCAACAGAGAGTAGCCTCAGATCATTTTCCTCTAGCATTACAATGTGGGGATTGGGGCTACAACAAATCCTACTTCAAATTTGAAAACTGGTGGTTAGGAATAGAGGGGTTCAATGAACAAGTGAAGATTTGGTGGGACTCATTTGTGTTTGCAGGCAGACCATACAATATCCAGGCAAGCAAACTCAAAGCTTTAAAAGGGAAGTTAAAGGAGTGGAATCTATCAAAGCATGGAAATTTGGAGTCCATCAAGATCAATATCCTTAATCAGATCTCAGAGTTGGATACAATTCAGGAGCAGAGAAATTTGAATAAAGAGGAAGTTCTATTGAAAGCCAACATGTTCATGGAATTTGAAGAGGTGGCAAAAAATGAGGAGATAGCTTGGAGGCAAAGTTCTAGGGCCTTGTGGTTAAAAGAGGGAGATAAAAATACTAAATTCTTTCGGAGGACAGCAAATGCACACAAGAGGTACAACAACATAGATCAACTAGTGGTTAATGGTGTAACACTGGAAGATCCTGCTGCTATTAAAGGAGAGATAGTAAGGTTTTATCAGCATCTTTTTACGGAGTCTGAATTCTGGAGACCAAACTTTAACATGGTAGACGGTCCTGCAATCACAAATGAAGAAAAAGAATGGCTTCAAAGGCCTTTTGGGGAACAAGAGGTGCATGGCTGCCTCAAACTCTGCGCTATTGATAAAATCCCGGGTCCTGATGGTTGATGGTTTTACTATGGGTTTCTATTCCAATTGTTGGGATATCATTAAAGGAGACAAATTGCAAGCTATTCAGAATTTTCATAGCCAGGAGTTCTTTGAAAAGAGCCTAAATGCCAGCTACATAGCTTTGATTCCAAAAAAAATTGGGGCAAAAGAATTAAAGGATTACAGGCCTATGATAGGTAGTGTGTATAAAATTATCTCTAAACTTTTGGCTTAAAGACTTAAATTAGTGATCTCTAAGCCGATTGGCAAACACCAAATGGCTTTTATTAAAGGAAGGCAAATCATGGATACTGCTCTCATTGTCAATGAATGTGTTGACTCTAGATTAAAGGAGAAGAAACCAGGAATCTTGTGTAAGTTAGATATAAATAAAGCCTTTGACCACGTTAATTGGGACTTCTTAATAAACATGCTGAGACGGATGGGTTTTGGTACAAAATGGACCAATTGGATCAGATTTTGTATTAGCACTACCAGATTTTCAGTGTTGGTTAATGGCTCGCCTGAAGGTTTCTTTCCCTCTAACAGGGGGATTGAGGCAAGGGGATCCTTTATCCCCTTTTTTGTTCATTATAGCTATGGAGGGACTGAACAACATGCTCCACACAGCATAACAGAATATTGGATCAGGGGCTTCAGGCTAAACAACAGACAAGGTGGAAGTCTGGTGGAAGTCTAGAGATATCACATCTCCTCTACGCAAATGATGCCATTATTCTTTGTGATGTAGAGATAGACCAGATAAGGATGCTGAGAGTTATTCTTACAATCTTTGAAGACATATCAGGGCTTCATATTAACTGGGGGAAAAGCCTAATTTTCCCGATTAATGAACCTCGACAGATTCAGCAACTTGCGGGGATACTTGGTGGTGAAATTGGTGTTTTTTCAACTATTTATCTTGGTATGCCTTTTGGGGGCTAAGTGTAGATCCATTGATATATGGAATGGGGTCTTGGAGAAATGCAAAAAGAAACTAGCAAGGTGGAAAAGTCTATCTCTCTTTAGTAGGTAGGCTAGTACTCATCAATAGTGTACTGGATGCCCTTCCTACTAATATGGTGTCTTTGTTCCCTATCCCTCCAAAAGTTGAAAGGAGAATGGATGCTTTAAGGAGAAAATTTATATGGCAAGGCAATAAAGAAAGAAGAGTCTTTCATTTAGTTAAGTGGAAGACAGTCACTCTTAGCAAGAGGCAGGGAGGCATGGGAATAAAAAAATTGAGGAAATAAAACCAAAGCTTACTCATGAAATAGCTGTGGAGATTCACAACTGAAGAACAATCATTATGGAGGATGGTAATTAAGACAAGTATGGAGAGGCAGGGCCCTGGAAAACAAAGATAGTAAACATTACCTATGGGGTTAGTGTCCGGAAGACAATCAGAAATCTTTGGCAAATGTTCAGCAACAAAATCAGCAATAAAGTGGGTAGTGGACTAAATATTTCTTTTTGGGAAGACAATTGATTGGGACAGGAGCCTCTTAAGACAATGTACCCAGACATTTTCTCAATAAATCAGCAGAAGAAGGCCAATATGAACGAGGTTTGGTCAGCTCAAGGGTGGAATCTCACTTATAGAAGACTCTTAAATGATTGGAAAATTACTAGAATTACAGATTTTTACAACAAACTCAATCAATTCACTGGGGGCAATCAGGACGTAGACAAGGTGTGGTGGTTGGGGCACAACTGAGGAAGGTTCTCAGTCAAGTCTTCCTATCAGATGCTTAATCAAACTAATATTGTGATTGATCTTTGGCCCTGGAAACACATATGGAAAGTAAGAATACCCTACAAAGTGGCATGTTTTATTTTGTTGGTTGCTAGAAAGGCTTGTTTAACACGGGATAATTTGAGGAGAAGGCGAATATCTTTGTGCTCTAGATGTCACTTATGCGGAAGGGAGGAAGAAACCAACATCACCTTTTTCTGCACTGTTCGGTGGATGTTCAGGTTTGGAACATATTTATAGCTCTAACAGGGATTCAATGGGTCATGCCCAACAGCACCATGGAAATGTTGTCATGCTGGAACAAGGGGAGAAGATCTGTAAGTGAGAAGAAGAGATTGGGTATGATTCCTGCATGCATATGATGGACGCTTTGGAATGAGAGGAATTAAAGATGTTTTGAAGATAATGTTAACTCAATTCAGAAGATTAAAATAAATTGCCTACTGCTTTTTCAGTTTTGGTGTAAACTGGAATACATAAGAGGACTCATAAGCTATAATAGATGTTCTTGGGTCTTTGTAAGAAGATACATAAATTGATGTATATTTTTTGTTATTCCTTATGTAATTATGGCATGCACAGCCTTTGTGCTTTTGAATATAGCAAACTGTTATCATCTCAAAAAAATGTAAAGTTTCGCCTCAAGCCTATCAACGTTAATAACCACTGGATGTCTGATTGAGTCATCCTCTGGATTGTATATCGTTAAAGTTGATTCAAACACATGAAAAATTTCACATTTCTTTGACATGCAAATGGGTGGCGAAAGCATGCAGTACTTAGGGTCATTAGATAGTTGATGGTATACAATTTCGTCTAAGATTCTTTAACCCCATACTCCTTCAGAACCCACACATCAGCTCTGAGTTAGCTCATAATTATAGAGCACAGATAAATCACTTCCCAACACTCCAAGCTTCAAATGAAACTCTCCTTGGAGAAGGGTTACTCCATCTTCTAATACTTGTCATCAGCGAAATCAATAGACATAATGCCCCAACCATCACCGTCCATAGTTGCCCAGTGAAATTTCTAATTCACCAACTTAGCTGAAGGATCGAATAACAACCCTCCTTGAAAGTTATCAAGTGTTCTCCAAGAATCACTCTTTAAACTATATATATCCACATAGCCATGAGTGAATCTATAGGAAATATGCACTACCTTATAATCATTATGAGCCTTATCATATCCAAAACCAAAGATGTACATGTAACTCAACATCTTTTCATACTAGTTGATGGATTCCACAGAACAAAGTCATCATTCCCAATGCAAAGACAAATTAAATCATTGACGGAACCCAGAATATTATAGATGTTTTTCATGGGATAATCCAAGTCAAAATGTCTTAGTAACAGACCCGTAAAATAAAGAGCTAACAGAATAATGTTTAAGATTCTGCTCAAGAGTCAAGACATTTGAGCTTAAGTGAATCAAATTTATCTAATTTCAGCATCAATCTATGGCTCTATGGCTGGTGCAATCCAAACTCAGGATTAACCAGTCTTTTGAAACACACTCAAACATCAATAGTATTTCACAGGAAGCCTTAAAAGGATATCAGCAATGAGTTCTTGGGGCAAGCTAGGGTTTGCCAATATTGAAACATTTCTTGAAGCCTTATACAAGGATATCAGTGGTGGAATGTGAGAATGGCTTGTGGGTTTGCTCCGTTCAGCTTCCATTTGGATTGCACAAAAAAAGTGTTGCCGCAAAAAGAAAATGAAAATGCAGAGTATCTGAGAGTTTGCTTGATAAGAACAATGGAGATGAATAAAGAAAGGATACTACCAAATTCAAGAATACACATTATATAGGTGCACTTTGTTTTCACTCCTGCAGCTCTAAAGAGAGAACGATAGTGTTTTGGATAGCGTGCGGCGACAAATAATGGCGAGGGCCCGCTTCACTAAGGCGAGAGGCGCGCAACGAAGCGCTAGCCTTTTTGATATGAATCGATAATTTATATAAAAATATAAAATATTATATACATATAACTAAAAACTCAATAGCAATAATATATTAATAAATATATCAATTCAAAATTTAAAGACTCAATAGATAGTCATATTAGATTCATAAACTAAAGTCTAATAGTCTAAAGCAGAAAGAGAGACAGAGCAAAGAAAGAAAGAAAGAAAGAAAGAAAGAGTTGTGGTCGAAAAACAGAGCAAAGAAAGAAGAAGAAAAACAAGAAGAAGAAAAACAAGAAGAAGAAAAACAGAACCAAAAAAAAAGATAAGAAGAAGAAAAATGAAGAAAGAAAGAAGAAATAGCTGAAGAAAGAACAAGAAAAAGAAAAAAGAAGAAGACAGCAATGGTGAAGTCGACCAGAGTCAAGAAAAAAAGAAAAGAAAAAGACAACTGAAATAGAAGAAGAAGAAGAAGAAGAAGAAGAAGAAGAAGAAGAAGAAAGTAGAAGTAGAAAGGAGAAGAATAAGAAGAAGAACAAGAAGAAAAGAAAAGAAAGTAACATACTTGAGTTAGTGTGTTGATGGCTGATGATGCAAGAAAAGAAAAGATGATGGCTGTCACACATCCTTTTTCTACCACCCGGAAGCAGTATATGGGAGTTTTTTCCAATTTAAGTGACAATCGAAATGGGATTATTTATATTTATAACGACCTGACCGGTCTTTTTAAGCTCTAGCGTGTTGTTCAGCAGTTTGAGGCCATGAGCAGCTTCACTTCAGGTATTGGGACTTGTACACATGGTCGGAATTGAATTTCGGGGAGTTCGGAGTTGATTTGGAAAGAGAATTCTCATTTCGGAAGCTTCAAGTTGAAAGAATTTACTAAGATTGAGTTTTGAGTAAATGACCTCGGAAGCGGGATTCAAAGGTTCCAGCAGGTTCGTATGACGATTTCGGACTTGGGCGTATGTCCGGATCGGATTTTGGAAGATCCGGGAATGTTTCGGCACCCATTGTGGAAGTTAGCATTTTTGGAGAAATTTCATAAGTTTGGGTTGAAGTGCATTTTAATGTTATCAATGTCTGTTTGGGATTCCGAGTCTGGGAATAGCTCCGTATGGTGATTCTGGTATTGGGAGCGCGATCGGAAGTGAATTCGGAGGTTTGTAGGTCGTTTTGGAGTCATTTGGCTAAGGATAGAAATTTGAAGGTTTTTGAGAAGTTTGACCGGAAGTGGACTTTTTGATATCGTGGTCGGATTATAATTCCGGAAGTTGGAGCATGTCCGCAATGTCAAATATGACATGTGTGCAAAATTTGGGGTGAATCAGACATAATTTGATATGTTTCGGCATCGAATGCAGAAGTTTGAAATTCTAAAGTTCATTAAGCTTGGATTGGAGGTCGATTCATGGTTTTAGCATTGTTTGATATCATTTGAGGCCTCGAGCAAGTCCGTAATATGTGTTTGGGACTGGATGGTATGATTGATTGGGGTCCCGGGGGCCTCGGGTGGATTCCGGATGGTTAATGGATCAAGAATGGAATTTGGAGAAGGTTTGATGCAGCTGGTATCTGGTGTAACCGCTCCTGCGAGGTTTTGGCCGCAGGTGCGGAATCGCAGAAGCGGCTCTAAAGTCGCAGATGTGGTCATCTCGCCGCAGAAGCGAGACCGCACATGTGTTGATACCCAATTTTTCCCTAAGTATTTTTATGAACTCAAAATAGCATATGCATGCATATATAAGCATTCCCAAGAGTTTTGGTATTTTTTCTTATTTTTAAATCAATTTATTGTCTATTCTAACAGTACAAAATCCAATAATTATTCCCAAAATTATCAATTTTTTTGTGAATAACTTATTTTATTCTCATATTTACACAAAATATAATTAAGGTAATTTTTTGTATATTTTTACAAATTTGTTTGGTATTTTTAAAGCTAATTGCATATAAAGGCTATTATAGCCTATTTTACAATTAACAGTGTTTTATAATTGTAAAATTAGTTCTAATACTTTTAAATTAATGCATATGTATTATTAAGTGGTTCAGCATCTTCAATTTTCTTTTTAAAATCATTCACTATTTTTATGAAATAAAAAGGGAAAAACTAACTATTTAAAATGTAGTCCCATTTCGTTTCAATTGCAGCCCCAATTCCATTTCAATTTTAGCCTTAATTTTGGCCCAATCCGCCCCCAAATCAAAACGACCCAATTTGACTTCTCACCCGACCCCTGACCCAATTGCTAAACCCGCCCGGGGTTCTTTTAAATCCAGGTCGTTGATCCTTTTGATCAACGGCCACAAATGATTCTTTCCTTTTTAATTCCACATGACCTAACCCTAATCCCCATTTCTCTTCGACAGCCGCCTTCGAACTCTCTTCTCTCTCAAACGCTCTCAAACACTCAAACCCTAATCGCCTCCCTCGTCTTCTCCGACCATTATCTCGCCGGAGTCCATGGCTTTTCAGGCCATGGACGACCTGTGCTTACCTTCTTTCACCCCTAAACCATGGGTGTTCGAGATTTCGAGGTTTGACCTCGACGACGTCCGTTCAGATCCCCTGCAGATCTGTGTTTTGTGGCCTCTCTGGCCCCATTCCGACGTATTCGAGCTTTAGAAGCCTAGTCATGGCCATCTCTGACTCAAGACCAGACCTCTTCCAAGCCTTCTCTTTGTTTCAGAGAAACCCTAAGGCTATTCGAGGTTCCTTCCTCTTTTATTTACTTAGATCTATGGTGGATCTGTGCTATATTCAATGTTTTAAAGCTTTTCCCCAATTTTCTTTTCAAAATTAGTCTGTTTCAATTTAGGGTTTTCGAAAAATCTTAAAACGACTTCTGACTTTTCCTCTTCTTCTTTTCTTTGTGTGAATCTGTCTATGCCATGTTCTTGTGTTCTTTCTCGCATGTCTGCTCCTATGTTCTTATGTTTTGCCATATTATGCATGTTCTTCTATTTTTTGTGTTCTGTTCTTTCTTCTACCGGGCTCTATAAGCATGCTTTACATGTCTATCTCGTATGTTTCTTTACTGTATTTTACTAAGCTTCTAATCCTTGTTTGCCTTTACTGGACTTTTGTTTGAACTCTAAGCAGGTTCCGTCTACTGTTTTTCCTAAACCTGTATCGCTTTTTCTCTCCTGAACTTGTTTGAGTGCCATGTTTTGCCTAAATGTATTCCCTGTGTTTCAAACTTGCTGCTCTCTCTGTTTGTTTTCTCATAAGTCTCTGAAAGAGACTACTGAGCCTGTTTTATTTGTTGTTTTCTCGTCTATGCATCTGATTCGAGTCAGAAACCCTACTATTTGGGGTTTTTGGCAGGCTTGAGTTTGTGTTTGGTCTAGGGTTCCATTCAGAACCCTTGACTCTCTTTCAGGCTCATCCTGAGTCTACGAACCTAACCTTCTTGGTCACTCTGATTTCTTGCTAGTTTTACGACAACTCTCTCTTGTCTCACATGTCTGTATGCTTTTTTATATTGACAAATTTCTCTTCTTTTACAAAAGGCCTTTGGCCAGCTTGTGATTGATTCCGAGTTCCTTTTTAAAAGGTTTTGTACTGTTGATTTTCTATAAATTAAACCCCTTCTCACCTTTTCTGGTTGGATTCATTCACATTAAGATTCGAACCCTGATTTTACTGGCTGTTGATTGATTGTCTTTCCTTGTTCTGCCCAAACCGTGTGCTACTAGACTATTTCCTTAAATAAACTGCTTTGTATTTGTCCCTATTACACTGCTTTAGAAAAGATTTTTAAAACGAATCCTTTCCTTATTTATTTTGCCCGTTTGAATCAAATCCCTTAACCAAAGGGAAACAGCTTGTGATTGATTTCAGAACTATTCTCTTACCTTTTTCTTACTCATCTTCTGCACTATAAAAGGGCCTGCCCTTTTGCACTAAAGAGGGGTTTTACAAGAGGTTTTTCACAGACTTTTCCTACACACACGAACACAGAACACCATCTGAGTTCACAATTCAATTTCACTTAAAGCTCTCTCTTTTGATACTTGTGCTGCTGTGGACTGTGTTTACTTTACTTTCTTCTGCACTTCTTTTGCTTCTCTACTGGTATGTCTCAGTTAGTTTACATGCCTCAACAACAATGTGTTTGATTCTGCCTATTTCCTTTAGTTGATATTTGTTTCCCTCTCCTTTATATTTATGTATTTAAGTTATGTGTGTAATCAATTGTCTGTCATGAATTTGATACTCTGTGAATACCCTTTACCTTTTACCCCTTTTGTATGTGAGTTTATTGTTCAGGGCATAGCAGCACCCCAATATTGTTGTCTATGATCCTGAACTGGTTCATTGAACTCCTTAACTCAATCAATTCCCACTTCCCGTTCTCCCATTATGTGCTTGAGCCTTGACTTAGGTTTGATAGTGTCCTAATCACTATCCAGACCTTTGTCTGACCATCAAAAGGTCTGCTCCTAACTTGTTCATCTAGCAAGTGGTCAGGGGTGTGCCAGCCTACCTCGTGGCTAGGTATGACCACCACTTATCATGGCCCCCTTAATTCCTTTCACTTTGCACTTACTCCTAGCTATAAGTTCTGCCCCTCTCTTGCA